ACTGGTTTGTAACCCAAACTGGAAGAGTCTTTCCTTGCCTACCGAAAGAGGATTAAAAAAAAAAACTGGCTGTTTTCAAGAAATTCCTGCTTCTTCTTTTTCCCCTAGTGGCTTTTTATTTTGGAAAAAAAAAAGGGATTGCAGTGTGGAACTGTGGAACTGAAACTCTAGAAAGAGTGCAGAAAAGAGGGAGGGGAGACTTTCCCATTTCCATCCTTAAAACTACCCCAATTATCCAAACCACAATTTTGGAGGGGGGGGCACGGTGGGCCCATTCCACCCCTAATTTGGAAAACAAAGCCAGATCAATTGAAGCAATTGTTAACACTCAATGGGGCTGCACAGTTTCCACCCTTGATTGGATCAAATCTAGACAGCATACTAAAAAGCAGAGACGTCACCCTGCCAACAAAAGTAATAATAATAATAATAATGATAAAGTTGGAAGGGACCTTGGAGGTCATCTAGTCCAACCCCCTGCTCAGGCAGGAAACCCTATACCATTTCGGACAAATGGCTGTCCAGTTTCTTCTTAAAAACTTCCAGTGTTGGAGCATTCACTGCTTCTGGAGGCAGGTTGTTCCACTGGTTAATTGTTCTAACTGTCAGGAAGTTTCTCCTTAGTTCTAGGTTGCTTCTCTCCTTCGTGAGTTTCCATCTGTTGCTTCTTGTCCTGCCTTCAGGCGCTTTGGAAAATAGCTTGACTCCCCTCTTCTTTGTGGCAGCCCCTGAGATATTGGAAGACTGCTATCATGTCCCCCCTCGTCCTTCTCTTCATTAAACTAGACATACCCAATTCCAGCAACCGTTCCTTATATGTGCGTATAGTCAAGGCCATAGTTTTCCCAGTTGCAATGTAGGGCTGTGAAAGTTGGACCATAAGAAAGGCTGAGCACCAAAGAATGGAGGCCTTTGAACTCTGGTGCTGGAGAAGACTCCTGCGAGTCCCCTGGACTGCAAGGCGATCCAACCGGTCAGTCCTAGAGGAGATCAACCTTGACTGCTCTTTAGAAGGCCAGATCCTGAAGCGGAAACTCAAGGACTTTGGCCACCTAATGAGAAGGAAGGACCTTTGGGATAACTATGACCTGGATGATTGAGAATCTCCATAGATACCAAGCCAGCGGGAATGCACGGCTGTGGTTGCCTATTAGTTGTGAGGTTGGGTTCTTTCATTATTGTGCCTGCTTTTATTTGCAACTCACAGGTTCATAGGAATATTTCTATTTTTTAAAAAAAATAATAATTAACTTTAATGGCAAACATCTGGAGCTCAGGTGTAGGATGAGGGTGAAGGTGTGTTCTCCGAGCTTGTGGATTGGTTTCTGAACATTTTGATACCAGGCTAGGTAACCTCTTCAGCGGAGTTTGGGGGACGATGTCAGTGTCAGTGTCCTTCTGTTTATAAGGGCTTCAGGTGTGACTGTGTCAAGGGAGGGTCTTGTGATGGGTCTTGTGATGGGCCAGGTGTGAGTCTCAATGAGAGGCTTGTAATGGGTCTTGTCAGTGGTGGGATTCAAATACATGAACAACTGGTTTTCTGTGTGGATGCCGCTTCTGGAAGTCCGTTCTAGGCCTGGGCAACAAAAAACTAGCTACCGGTTCTGCCGAAGTGGTGCGAACTGGCTGAATCCCACCACTGGGTCTTCTGATGGGGAGGTTATATCAGGTCAGGTCAGAACCAGCCTACGAATCCTTCAGAATCCAAATCAACTGCACAGCCAATAGTAGTAACTGTGAGAGGGATCTCGGAGTCCTAGTGGACAATCCCTTAAATAGGAGCCAGCCGTGTGCTGCAGCTGCCAAAAAAGCCAACACAGTGCTGGGCTGCATTAACAGAGGGATAGAATCAAGATCGCGTGAAGTGTTAATACCACTTTACAAGGCCTTGGTAAGGCCACACTTGGAGTACTGCATCCAGTTTTGGTCATCACGATGTAAAAAAGATGTTGAGACTCTAGAAAGAGCGCAGAGAAGAGCAACAAAGATGATCAGGAGACTGGAGGCTAAAACATATAAGGAACGGTTGCATGAATTGGGTACGTCTAGTTTAACGAAGAGAAGGACGAGGGGGGACATGATAGCAGCCTTCCAGTATCTCAGAGGCTGCCCCAAAGAAGAGGGAGTCAAGCTCTTCTCCAAAGTGCCTGAAGGCAGGAGAAGAAGCAACAGATGGAAACTCATCAAGGAGAGAAGCAACCTGGAATCAAGGAGAAACTTCCTGACAGTTAGAACAATTAGCCAGTGGAACAACCTGCCTCCAGAAGCAATGAATGCTCCAACACTGGAAGTTTTTAAGAAGAGACTGGACAGCCATTTGTCCGAAATTGTATATGGTTTCCTTCCTGAGCAGGGGGTTGGACTAGACGACCTCCAAGGTCCCTTCCAACTTTTTTATTATTATTATTATTATTATTATTATTATTATTATTATTATTATTATTATTATTATTATTATTATTATTATTATTATTATTATTATTATTATTATTATTATAGGCAGCATTGACCCTCAACCATCCCGCGCAATCCCCAATACACCAGCAGTTCACCTCCCAATGACACTCACCTGATGTAACTTCCCCATCACAACACCCATCACAAGACCCATCACTGATGACTCACTCCTGACCCATCGCAAGACCCTCACTCAACACATCCACACCTGAGCCCTTATAAACAAAAGAACATGGACACTGACATCGTTTCCCAAACTCTGCTGAAGAGGTCACCTAGCCTGGAAACCAACCCACAAGCTCAGAGAACGAATCTCCACCCTCAAAATTAACTATATCGTGTTTTTTTTAATCCTGAGTATATATCGGGCAACTCCGTGCCACTCAGGATTGGCAAACTGGAGGGCAGCCTTTAAACCCTGTATATCAATAAGTAGTTGCATAAATGCAGCTACAAAGAGGAATGATGAAGAAAAGGTGGAATAGTATAACTTTACATTTATTGCCCAATGTATCTCCTACATAAGGCCTACGGTGTTCATTAAACTCCACCAAGGAGTCTCGTAAACCTGAAAAATTAGCTTTATTTTAAGATCATAACAAACATCGTAAATGTTTTTTAAGAATCGACACCCTGAATGTTGCTCTATTGGAAATGGCAAGTCTTTTATTTCAACATTCTATTTATTGTCCATATTTCTTCTGCTTTTACTGCCAGTAAAAGTAAATGGCTGGTTTTGTCTCTTAAACCCCCCCCCCCAAAAAACACTTTTATTCAAAGCTACAGGGGTTTAAAAGGCAGTGGAATGTCTGCTGAAAAGAAAAAGCTTTTAGGTTGAAGGGAGCATCGTTCAATTATTTTTGACAGAATAAATGGCTTTGCAACAGGGTGAAATTTCTGTTTTTTGGGCTATCTGGATTTTTTTTTTTTTTTTTTGCTCTGAAAGTTACTTAGATCTATTTCTCTTCGAAACTCGGAATAGTTTTATGTTTCTATAAGCTTCAGGTTTTATAGTGTCTATTTCTTCCCAGCCCTCTTGAGGGTGATTTTCACCTAGGTCAAGCATACGGAAACAGATTTTGCCATAGAGAAAGGATTTGCAAAAAATCCATTTGTTGCATCGTGCACAAGTCTGCTGTAATTCTGGGTTCTTTCTTGTGAATTTTTTTTTAATTCTAAATATGTAATGAATTTACTAACCTTTCTATCAAAGGAAACCACCTTTGGCTAGAAACAGAAAGAAATGCTACGTTACGTTTGGGGTTGGGGGAGTAGAAATGTTTATGATTATAGAAATGTTGAATTTTAGATCAAAAGGCATTTTGTGTTTGTAACTGTATGGGAGAAAGTTGGAACTTCCTTCCTTTCTTCTTCTCTTCTACTCTGTTCTTTATTCCTTTCTCCTCTGTTCTTTTCCCTCCCTCCCTTCTTCTCCTGTTCTTTATTCCTCCTTCCTTCCTTTCTCCTTTGTTCGTTACACTTCCTTCCTTCCCTCTCTCCTTCCTTCCTTCCTTAATTCCTTCTTTCTTTCTTTCTTTCTTTTTTTCTTTCCTTCCTTCCTTCTTCTGTTCTGTTCTTTATTCCTCCTTCCTTCCTTTCTCCTTTGTTCTTTACCCTTCCCTCCTTTTCTTTTTCTTTTTTCTTTCTTTCCTTCCTTCCTTATTCTCTTCTGTTCTTTATTCCTCCTTCCTTCCTTTCTCCTTTGTTCTTTACCCTTCCTTCCTTCTCTTCCTTCCTTCTCTTTCTTTCTTTCTCTTTCTTTCTTCCTTCCTTCCTTCTCTTTCTTCCTTCCTCTCTTCTACTCTCTTTATTCCTCCTTCCTTTCTCCTGTTTTTTTCCTTCCCTCCCTCCCTTCTTCTCCTGTTCTTTATTCCTCCTTCCTTCCTTCCTCCTTTGTTCTTTACCCCTTCCTCCTTCCTTCCTTCCTTCTTCTCTTCTACTGTTCTTTATTCCTTTCCTTTCTCCTCTGTTCTTTCCCCTCCCTCCCTCCCTCCCTCCTTCTTTATTCCTCCTTCCTTCCTTTCTTTGTTCTTTTTCCTTCCTTCCTTCCTTCCTTCCTTCCTTCCTCCCTCCCTCCCTCCCTCCCTTCCTTCTTTCCTTCCTTCCCTTCCCTTTCCTTTCCTTTCCTTCTTCTGCTTCTTTTCTTCTCTTCTTTCTTTTCTTTTCTCTTTTCCTCCACCTTCCCTTCCCTATCTTTTTTTCCCCCTTCTTCATCATTCTTTCCCCTCGGTTGCCTTTGATCTTCTCCGGGACCTTTCGTCAAGTACCCTGCCCGTCCCCTGGCGGGGCATGAACCGCCCCCGGGGGGGGGGCGCGCCTCTCCCCTCTCCACCACCCAGCGCAGAGCGCAGAGCGCAAAGCGCCAAGCGCAGCCTTCCCTCGCTCCGGGCTGGCGGGCCCCGCGGGCGGCGCCCGGGGGGAAGGCGGAGCCGGCCGGGGCGGGGGGCCAAGCCCCACCGGGGCCCGAGCTGATAAAGGGCCGGGCGGGGCGCGGCGGCCGCTCAGCCCGGGGAAGCGCAGCGGGTCCGCGGCAGCGCTTGGAGATGCGGCGCGCCAGCCGAGACTACTCCAAGTACTTGCGCGGCGCCGAGGAGCTGGGGGCCGGCGCTGAGTGCGGCTCCCCTCCGCCGCCGCCCTCCTCGCAGCCGCCCGGGGGGGCGCCCGGCCCGTCCGGCTCCCCGTCCGCCTCCCGAGCCCTCCTGGCCGCCCTGGTCCTGCTGGGGCTCGGCCAGGTGATCTGCAGCCTGGCGCTCTTCCTCTACTTCAAAGCGCAGGTGAGGCGCCGGGTAGGGATTTCCTCCCCCCCCTCTCGCTCCCCTGGAAAAGGTTGGGGTGGGGGGCGCAGAGAGGGACGGGGGGGGTCTCCATCCCTTTGCGCGACCCTCGGTGGATCTCGTCTGGAAGATCACCCCCCTCCCCTCCCGAGATCTGTTAAACTCAGGTCGAATCAGGCTGGCCAACTTCGCGTCTTGTTTTTTTGCCAAGTTCTTTCCTTGGCGTGCGGGTTTCGCGTCGGGTTTCGCCAAGTTCTTTTCCTTGGCTTGCAGATTTCGCGTCTGGCTTTGCGACGTTCTTTCCTTGGCGTGCGGGTTTCGCTTCTGTTTTGCGAAGTCGTTTCCTTGGCTTGCGAAGATTTTGCTTGCAAAGTTTTGCGAAGTTCTTTCCTTGGCGTGCAGGTTTCGCATCTGTTTTGCGAAGTTCTTTTCTTGGTTTGCAAAGTTCGCGTCTTGCTTTGCGAAGTTCTTTCCTTGGCTGGTGGGTTTCAGGTCTGTTTTGCAAAGTTCTTTTCTTGGCTTGCAAAGATTTCGCTTGCAAAGTTTTGCAAAGTTCTTTCCTTGGCTTGCAAAGATTTCGCTTGCAAAGTTTTGCGAAGTCCTTTCCTTGGCTTGCAAAGTTTTGCGAAGTCCTTTCCTTGGCTTGCAGATTTTGCGTCTGGCTTTGCGAAGTATTTTCCTTGCCTGGTGGGTTTCGCTTCTGTTTTGCAAAGTCATTTCCTTGGCTTGCAAAGATTTCACTTGCAAAGTTTTGCGAAGTTCTTTCCTTGGCATGCGGGTTTCGCGTCTGTTTTACGAAGTTCTTTTCTTGGCTTGCAAATTTCGCATCTGGCTTTGCAAAGTTCTTCCTTTGGCTGGCGGGTTTCGCGCGTGGTTTCGTGAAGTTCTTTCCTCTGCTTGCAAAGGTTTCGCGTCGGTTTGGGGCCAGATGGGTGCTCTGCAATTTGGGCCAGGCGGTCGTTGTTTCCTGAACTCTTTCAGGATTCCCCGTTTGCTTCCGACCCACCAGCCAAGGCGGGGTGTCCTTAGGGAGGCCAAGCCCTGGGGGGGTGCCTGCTGGGTCCTTCTTTGATGGCAGGGTCGGGGGTGCGTGTTAAGAGACCCATCGGGGACCAATGAACCAGGGGAATGAGAGTTACTACTCGTTGGCCAAGTTGGGGCGGCATTCCCTGGCAATGCTTCCTTCACCTTGGCTGCTTTCATTCGGATGCCAACATGATGTCGAGGGGCAGGCATCCCCCCACCCCCACCCCACGGAAAGCTACAGTTAGAGCCAGCTAAGTGTAGTAAACTGGGCCCCCCACCCTCAAGTTGGGAAGAAATTGGAAAGGGAAAAACTGTTGAAGTTCAGACTGGATGAAGCTGCAGGCCTGGGTGAAAGGAAATGGGCCCCCTGTTCAAGTTGCTGAGGTGTGCCTGTGACAGCGGGGTGACTGGACTGGGGGTTTTCTTGGGGTCTTGGCCAACTGGGTGTTGATACTGACCGGATTTGTGAGGGGTGAATATTTTCTACTCTGCTTGAAATCAAGGTCAAAGTGGGGATATTTGCACCGTGCAGAGTTAAGAAGGTAGAAGTCTTGCGTCTTCCTCTTTCCTCCCTCCCTCCCACCCTCCTTCTCTCTTACCTTCTCCCTCTCTCCCTCCTCCTCCCTCTCTCTTACGTTCTCCCTCTCTCTTATCTTCTCCCTCTCTCTCCTTCTCTCTCTCTTCATCTCCCGCTTCCTCTCTCTTGCTCTGCCCCTCCATCTCTTCCTCTCTTCCTCTCTCCCCTCCCCTCTCTCTCCCTCCCTCTCTCTCTTCTCTCCTTCCCTCTCCCTCTCCCTTACCCTCTCCCTCTTTCCCTCCCTCCCTCTCCCTCTCTCCCTTCCTCCCTCTCCCTCCCTCCCTCCTCTCCTTCTCTGTCCCTCTCCCTCTCCCTCCCTCTCCCTCTCTCCCTCTCTCCCCTTCCTCTCTCTCCTGTCCTTCCCTCTCCCTTTCCCTCTCCCTCTTTCCCTCCCTCTCCCTCTCTTCCTCTACCCCTTCCTCCCTCCTTCCCTCTCTCTCCCTCCCTCTCTCCTCTCCTTCCCTCTGCCTCTCCCTCTTTCCCTCCCTCTCTCCCTCTTTCTCTCCCCCTNCCTCTCCCTCTTTCCCTCCCTCTCTCCCTCTTCCTCTCCTCCTTCCTCCCCCTCCCGCCCTCTCTCTCCCTCTCCTTCCCTCCCCTCTCCTTTACCCTCTCCCTCTTTCCCTCCCTCTCCCTCTCTCTCCCCCTTCCTCCCTCTCACTCTGCCCCTCACTCTCTTCCTCTCTCCCTTCCCCTCTCCATCCCTCCCCCTTCTCTCTGTTCCTCTCCCTCTAGCCCCCTCCTTTCCTCTCACTCTGCCCCTCCCTCCCTCCCTCTTCCTCTTCCTCTCCCTCAATCTCAGTCTCTTTCTGTCTCTCTCTTTAAAGCAGATCAGTTTTATATCTCGATTAGAAAGTTTGGGTTGCCCAATGCCATCGGAAAGAACGGATTCCAAGGCAGCCGGCAACGGTGAAGAGAGTCCGAAGGAACCCTGGATAACTGGATGCTTGTTTAGGGAGGCAAAAAAGAGCTGATGCATGTCAAACTGCAGTTCTGGAGGGCAAGCCAAAACTGTGGGAGTTCTCAGAAGCAAAGCCGCACTTCCCCCCTTGGGATTTTAAAGATGGGGAGGGGGGCATTCTCCCCACCCAGGGCAAGATCTCATTCTGGGCAGGGCTGCCAAGCCAACGATTGTCATCACCAACACAGCTTGTCCAGTGTGGTTGAGATGCCTGATAGTTTAGTTATTCACACATGGTTCCCCCAAGTGACCGAAAGCCCCGTTTCTCGTATTTTTGTATTTTCAATGGCTTTTCAAAGACGTTTTTTTTTTTTTTGCAGCCTGCTCATCCCCACTCTGAGAAAGGGACACATTTATCCTCGTGTCCTTTAAAATTCACCTGGGAAAAAATATATGCCATTTTTAAATGCCGTCTGTATGCCTAAATGTTCTGGGGTTTATTTGCTGAAAAGCAGAAGATGTGATTGGGAGAGAGAGACACACGGCTGACTTGTTAGGACTGGCGTCTGTTCAAAGTTTATTTTTTCTTCTTCTCCCCCTAAATTTGACCAAAGGATAAAATAATGTTTCTTTTCTTTGTCGGGGGATATTCGAGAAATGCCTTAATCTCTCATTTGGGGAAAAGCAGGCCCCACGCTAGCAAACGAAGAGGGCTTTTATTGTGGGCAACGCAATATACAATATACGCTAGATTTGAATTGCTAGGGGGGAGAGAATTGGGGGGAAGAATCTCCAGTGCGGTTTAGATTTGGGGTTACAAAAAGGCCCTGCTTTTTTTTTTTTTCTTGGAAATTACCCTGTTCGCTTTCTTGCCTTCTCAGCTTTCCTTTTCAAACAAAAAAACCCCCCAAACTTTAAAAGGAAGTTTAAAAGTTGATGTTTGCTGAGGTTTCCCCCCCACCTTGCTGCAGAAAGCCGTTCTGAGATTAGGTTTTCTCTTTTTCAGATATTTTTTTGAGAAAGAAAAGAAAATTTTCTTGGTCAGGCAAGCATTTGTGTGTTGTAGACCTGCAAGATCCCTCCCAGCTCTGTTATTCTGTCGTTCTGTCATTCTGATTAGGATTTTCCCTCCTGGTGTGATCAATAGCACCAGAGCATGTAAAGATTCTTTCCAAGGGGCTATTTTCGAGTTTAAAATTAATCTTGGAAAAAAAATAATGGAATTTTTCAATGCCGTCTGTATGCCTAAATCACGAGTAGGCAACCGTGGCTCTTTTATGACTGGTGGACTTCAACTCCCAGAATTCCTGAGCCAGCCATGCTGAGGGGAAAGGGAGAGGTTTCCAAGCTGAGCCAGGCTGGCTGAGGAATTCTGGGAGTTGAAGTCCCCGAGTCATGAGGGGACCATAGTTCCCCCCATGCTGGCTCAGGAATTCTGGGAGTTGAAGTCCACGAGTCATGAGGGGGGCCATAGTTCCCCCATGCTGGCTCAGGAATTCTGGGAGTTGAAGTCCACGAGTCATGAGGGGGCCACAGTTCCCCCATGCTGGCTGAGGAATTCTGGGAGTTGAAGTCCACGAGTCATGAGGGGGCC